TCTTTCGGATATCATCAGTTAGAGAAGCCAATTCGAAATAAAGGATAATTCGAATTCATGTACTACATGCGGTTCAAGTTCTGAAATAGGCAATTTCCTATAATATGGGAAGTCTTAGCACTTATGGAGCATCCAAGATGTTTACATGATCCAGTCACTGTTAAGGCCTTTGATAGCAAGTCATGGATCAACCATGTCTTTAATCATCTCTTTCCTATCAGATAAATACTTATTTCAGAGAATAACAATTTGTTGTCCTCCAGATGCTAACCACAAAAGTGATGGAGGGAGGAGAATGGGCAGTCTAGGGAAGTTTGATTTCATGAGTTATTGAGATACTATAGTTCAGGTGCCCAATAAAACAAGTAACGCCGGTTGACGTCAATCCTATAGGTCTTCTTACATGAAAAGAAGAAAAGAAAATAGCAGGAGGCACACTTTAAATACACTTCCATCTCAGTTCTTTATAATGAGTGGATAAGTCAACATAAATAACGTAAGAATCCTTCTGGTGGCAAAAAGGCTAAATCAATCTAGGGCTGTCTGGTGTTGGGTATTGTCTGGGCCATATGGTGGGAAAGAAATCAACGGATTTTTGAAGACGTCAAGGGGGCGGATGTGGAGGAGGTGTGGCAAAAGGCAAAGTATTGGGCAGTGCTATAGGCTTCAGTTTCTCCTATTTTGCTTGATTGGAAGGCTGCAGTGTCTTGATTAGGATTGTTTTTCTCATTATTGGAGATCTATGCACTCGTTTTACTGTTTCTTCCTGTTATTGGTGGATTACTTGTCCACCTTCTTGTATGGTTTTTTTGAAATAAAACTTCTCATTTAAAAAAAAAATTATAATAATAACATAAGAATCATTCTGAAACTTTTAAAGAAACTATTCTATTCTTTTCCAATTTTGTACGACAACAAGCAATTGCAGTATAATAGAGAAAGAACAATCATAACCATGCAAATCAGCAAACCATAAAAGGAGAAAAATATGGAAACTTTGGTTTGCATCTGCTGCAAACTTTGGTTGCGTGCATAAAAATATGGTTATAGTACATAAATAAAATAAAACAAATAGAAAGAAAAACAACATGGTATTACCTGCAGCCGTGAGAGCCCCTTTGGGTTGCCATCAGCAAGTGGGCGCTGCACCAAGCTTTGCCAGCAGCTCTTAATTGAAAAAGGCTCAAACCGCAAGAAAGCCATCAAAGAAAACAAATCAAAAGAGCCATTCTGGATTGGTGTTCCCGTAACAGCCCACCTTCTCTTAGCCTTCAACTTAGTGACAGCTTCACTTTGTTGAGCATTCTCATTCTTAATCATCTGTGCCTCATCCAAAATCACCCGCCACCACTCAATCTGGTCTACAGGGGATGTTCTGGAAGGATATTCACTAGACAAAACACCGTATGTAGTCAACACTATATCATACTTCTTAAGCTCCTCAGCATCTTTAGTCCGTAGGCCATAATACTTGCACCAATTCAACCTAGTGTGTTCTTCAAACTGTGTTTGCCAAGTTGAAAGTACAGAAGAAGGGCACACAATTAATGTCGTCCGACTGATCTCATGCGAAGACTTATCATTTGCACTCACACATTTGCCTTCCACAATGGTATTCTCAGTTTTATGTTGTTTTCGCATGCCCATGCTTTTTTCACTTGGTCTACCTCTCTTGCCCTTCTTACCAACAGAAGAAGACAACCCCTTATCCTCACCCATTTCGTTATCATCTAGCATGCTTACATCAACAATGCCACTACCATATTTATCAAACGCAATCAAAGAAAGCAAAGTTAAGGTCTTACCCAATCCCATCTCGTCCGCGAAAATCCCACCTCTTAGAGGCTCCGGTCGCTTATGGGTGCTGAAATGGGTCAACGCATTCACAAAAGACCCACCTTTCTCTTCCCAAAAAGGAGGCAGCTCATCAGACCTCTCTCTATGAATCAACCATCCCAACCCTTCTTTTTGGTGCACAAAAAGCTCCGTTTTGATCACTTCTGCTGGGGGTTCCAAAGCTTTCAAAACACCATTCTTGTTCGCATTCTCATCCAGCAACTTGAAAATCTCATCCACGCTCTTGCCTGCCCTCTCCGCCTTCTTCTCCTTGACCACCAAATGTAACCCAGATTGCGAAATTGCCGACTTCACAGAGGTAAAATCTTCAAATCTTGAAAAGATGTTAACTTGGCAAGTAATCTTGGGCCCATTGCCCTCAGCTCGCGTATTGAGAACAATGCCCTCCACCGCAATCAAACTCGAGTCAATCAACGGCGCTAGTGCGGCCGCCACGCGGCGTTCAATGTGACCCACTTGAACGGTGGTGGTATTGAAGACTTTGATGGCGTTGGAATCTTGAAAATTAAGGGGTTCGCGGACAAGAACCACCATTTCTTGGCCACTGATGGTGCCTAAATACCATTGAATTCCAACTATGTCGGCGTTGACGAAACCAAGCAAGCGGGTATCGGAGGAAGAAGAGAGAGACTGATAGTCTTCCGAGGAGGGACGAAATTCATCTGGCTCTGTTGGAGGGCCTTGCCAGTTATCGAGGTTCATATAGAGCTTCACGGGATCTTCGTCTTCCATTGCAGAGAGACAAAGAGAGAGTTCGATTTCAAGAAGTAGGAAAGAATGGCGGTAGCTTTACACTTTAGAGAGAGACTGTTAGTTAGTGTTTATGGAAAGGCGTTTGAATGAAATGGAAAGGCGGGTTTAGAGAGAGAGAGTGACGCCCTTCGAGTCTGCTATGTCCTATTTGGTGGTGTATTCGGTTAGGATTTTACATAGGCGTATTCAATTTAGATCTTAAAAGATTTTTAAAAGGTTTAAAAGTTTAATGGTGCATTTGGATGAGGAAAATAAACTTGGAATTTTGACAAAACTCAGAATTTCTAAATTGACATGAACCAATTCCGGTGTTTGGATAAAAAAACATAGAAATTTGGAAATTTTGCGTGGAAAAAAAACATGGAATTTTGAGATCATAAATCCCAAGTTTAAATTTGTTGAAGGAGATCGAGTTTAGAATGGAATGTTGATTCTGTCAAATTGGAAGTGACAGCGGGTAAAGCTCAGGCACAACCGGATGCGGCCGTGTTTGCGTGAAGAATTCTAGCCGTGAATCCGAAGGAGAAAAGGGTGAGTTGAAGTGCACCAAGTGTAACAAAACAAATCACACTGCCAAGAATTGCCGTGCACACCTAAAATGCACATTTTGCGGATGGAAGGCCCATTGTCACTACGGATGATCTTAATTTTGGAATCAAATTGAGTAGCAATCATATTGATGAAATTAACTAGAAGAGTCCTAGCATCAGACTTGTGTTTCATAAGATAAATCCATGTGCATCTAGTGTAATCATCAACAATGGTAAGAAAATATTTGGCACCTGAAATCGAAGCAACTTTATAACCACCCCATATGTCAATATGAATTAAATCAAAACTAGAATAAGTAGTAATTGAACTTGAAGGAAAAGGAAGTTTTGTTTGTTTAGCCAAAGGGCAAATTGCACACTTGTCGGTATCACAAGAGTTATGTTTCAAATTTGAAAAAGAGAATAATGGAAGAACTTTGGTAGATGGATGGCCAAGACGTTGGTGCCAAAGGGATGGATTGGAGTTTTGTGCCTGATTGCATGTTCCTTTCTTGCCTCGATCGAGATAGTAGAGGCCCTCCCGTTCAATTCCCGTCCCAATCATCATCCCCGAACGTAGGTCCTGTATGATACAAAATTGGTTCAGAAAAATGGTTATGCAAGATGAATTGACTAACTTGCTAATTGAAATCAAATTCAATTTGAAATATGGGACACACAAAACGTTCTTAAGAACCAAATTGGGGGACAAGGATACTGTGCCAATGTGGGTCACTTGTGCCACGGACCCATTCGGCAATTCTACTGTGTGATTAGTGACCGGCCTTGAGTTAGAGAACAAGTTGGAATCATAAATCATATGGTCCGTGCATCCACTATCTAAAATCCAAGTGCTCTGTTTGCCATTAGAGTTGAGTGAAAAGGCTTTACCTGAAAGTTCATGGGTTGTGGAATTACCAACATGATTAGCAGAGGAGGACCTGTTGTGCAACTCACTTAATATTTGTTTGCACTCTTCAGCAATAAATGGGAATTTCATCTCCTTCCTCTTTGTCATACACGTTGCTGCTTGGTTCCCTTTGGAAATCATCTCACCAAACTCGGCCTCAGCCGCTGCCTTCTTCTTGCGGCAATACTCGGCTGTGTGGCCCTTCCATCCGCAAAATGTGCATTTTAGGTGTGCATGGCAATTCTTGGCAGTGTGATTTGTTTTGTTGCACTGGGTGCACTTCAACTCACTCTTTTCTCCTTCGGATTCACGGCTAGAATTCTTCAAGGCAAACATGGCCGCATCCCTCACGTGCCGTTGCTCCTTCTCCACCGACACCCGATCTGCCTTCTCCTTCCACCGATCTGTCTTCTCCTTCACCATCTCCGTCGCCCACACCTGCCACCCTCGCTCCGCGCTGCAGCAGTCGTTCCACCCAGCCGCCTGCCTATTTGCAAAACTTCCACCTCGAGACTAGCCTCCCTTCAAGGACCGCCCCAATGTCATCCACGAACTTGGTCATCCGTTCAGGTACGGCTCACCCCCTCTCTCAGTTCTTGTCTTATGCTCAACTTTCTCACTCTCACAAAACATATCTTGCCCAACTTACCCTTCTTAAAGAACCTACGAGTTTCTCTCAGGTAGTCCAAATTCCACAATGGCGTGCCGCCATGAAATCTGAGATTGATGCACTACAGGCTAATGGGACTTGGAGCTTGGTGCCGTTACCACCTCATAAATGACCGATCGGCTGTAAGTGGGTGTATAAGGTGAAATGAAAGGCTAATGGCACGGTCGAATGCTACAAAGCCTGCTTAGTGGCAAAGGGTTACAGTCAAGTTGAAGGCATTGATTACCGGGAAACTTTTGCCCCGGTTGCCAAATTGGTGACTGTCCATGTTCTCCTTAGTATGGCATCCCTGCGTGGCTGGCCTCTCCACCAATTGGATGTGAACAATGCGTTTTTGAATGGCGACCTTAATAAGGAGGTGTTCATGTCCTTGCTCCTGGTTTCGGACAAAAGGGGGAGAATCGGGTATGTCAATTGCACAAGTCGTTGTACGGTTTAAAACAGGCATCTAGGCAGTGGTTTATCAAGCTGTCTACTGCCCTCAAAGCCGCGGGATTCCAACGGTCATGATCCAACTATTTTCTGTTCGTCCAAAGTCGTCAAGGCAACTTGCTAGTATTGCTTGTATATGTTGATGACGTCATACTAGCAGGGAACAATTTGGAGGATATAGAGAACACGAAATTATTCTTGGCCAAGCAATTCAAGCTTAAGGATTTGGGGCAATTGAAGTATTTCCTAGGCATCGAAGTTGCCAGATCACGGCATGGAATCAGTTTGTCGCAACGTAAGTATGCCTTGAAAATTTTGGATGATGCTAGATTTTTAGGTGTCAAACCTTCTCGGTTCCCTGTGGAACAGAATTTATCACTCACACAGTTCAATGGAAAGTTATCAGATGATGCTTTGACATACAGAAGAATGGTTGGGAGGTTGATATATTTGACCATAACTAGACCAGACCTGACTTATGCCGTACATGTACTGAGCCAGTTCATGGATAAGCCACAACAACCGCATTTGGAAGCAGCCCATAAAGTGCTTAAGTACATTAAGCAAACACCGGGTCAAGGTATCCTACTACCATCTACAGGGTCACTCCAATTGTGGGCATTCTGTGATGCCAATTGGGCACGTTGTAAAGACACAAGGAGATCAATCGCGGGATACTGTATTTTACTTGGGCAAGCACCGGTCTCTTGGAAGACTAAGAAACAAACAACGGTATAGCGTTCAAGTGCGGAGGCCGAGTATCATTCCATGGCTACCACTTGCTGCGAAGTCACATGGTTGAAGAACATTTTGAAGGATTTGGGAGTTGATCACACGCAGCCAGTAACCCTGTTTTGTGACTATCAGGCGGCTATACACATAGCATCGAATCCGGTGTTTCATGAGAGAAACAAACACATAGAGATAGATTGTCATTTGGTTTGAGAGAAAATTCAAAAAGGGATGATTCGGACAGCTCATATTCGAACTGCAAATCAGCCGGCCGATTTGTTCACTAAGCCATTAAGCTCGGCACAATTTGAAGTGCTACTTAGCAAGTTGGGTGTCATAAACATACACTCCAACTTGAGGGGGAGTGTTGAAGGAGATCGAGCTCAGAATGGAATGTTGATTATGTCAATATTGTAAATAACTTCTTTCCTTATTTGTGAATGATTTAGCTTGATCGTAGGAACCATATTAGGATGCTTTTGTAACTATAAGTTCGTGGCTCTATCTCTTGAATAATACTACAAATCAATTACATATCATTTTCTTACAAAATTCTATCTAAAAGTCATCATTTCTAAAGTCCCAAGAGAGATTGAGTTTTAAAAAAAGACAACTTTACAATTAAAGGTTAAATTCCTTTGTTTTAAATCAGTCACCCAAACAAAGAACTTTACAAATTCTAGAATATTAATTTCCGTCATTTTAAATTCCGTCATTTATAAAATCCTTTGTACTTTTAAATTTTCTCATTCAAATGCACTATAAGTGTATTCAATCATGATTTTATAAGAGTCTATTCAATTCAGACTTTTTAAACTCTATTCAAATTTGGATGTATTCAATCACGACTTTAAAAGACATTATAAAAATTTTGGTGTATACAAAAACTCATTGATTTTAAAGGAAATACAAAAATTAACAGATTTCGTTTGATAATAGACTAATTTTAGGCTATGACAAATTTTTGTTTTCCCCCATATATTTTGATAAATATATTATTTTTATACTCAAGATATAATTTCACCACTTCTACTACCACCATCTTATCATGACTATCACCATTGCTGTCACCACCACCACCAATCACCATCACCTCCACTACCAGCCCCACCATAACCGCCACTATCACCATTACCACTATCAGCCCATCACCATCACTGCCACCACCACCACCACCACCTCCACCACCACCACCTCCACCATCACATTCACTATAAACTCCATTAAAATCAATAATAACATTCTAACAAACTCAGTGAAAATCTATACACAAATTCAATCAAAATCTATGTGGAGTGTGGGAGAAAATATTTTCGTCTCCAATCACAACATGCAATGTGAAAAAGAAGAATATCTATTAGATTAATTAATTGAGCTAATTTATTTGGCCAATTAATTAATACCAAAAATTGAGATAATATCTTAATTATGTGATATTATCATTATTTAATAAGATAATACCACTAATTTAGATGTTATCCTAATAAGGAGATATTATCATCATCAAATTAGGAGATTTGAATCTCAATCAAATCTCTAATGGACTCAATCTCTGCAATTTGGGGGAAAGAATAAACTCCTTCCTAATAAGAGTTTTATTCTTTACGAAACCCTAGCCTTCAAAACTCCTATAAATAGATGGCTTCATTCATCATTCAAGTTACTTCAAAAACCCTAGAAAAATACCCAAGCTCTCTCCCTCTCTCTCCCTAGCCGACCTCTCCACTCTCCTCTCTTTATATTTTCTTCACACGGCTCCGGGCACCTGGTTCTCACCGTAGAGAAATCTCCATACCTTTTTTAGCTATTGTTTCACCTAGATTCAAACTCAGTCAATCCAAACCTCCTCTACGTGCTAAAGGCTGCATAAAAGCTTAGGCTTTAATAGATTTTGTTGTGGAGTTTACTCCGACAACTGAAGAAGAGAAGTTGGTCACGAAAAACAAGGAAAATTCAAGAGCACAAGACACTTTTCTCGCTTATCCATACCTACCTAACAACATGTGGTAGTTGCACTTAGACAGAACGTTAAATCACAAGGGAGCGGGGGTAGGTGTTCTCATAATCACCCTAGAAGAAACTTTTTTGGAATAAGCCATCACATTGGGCTTTCCAGCTTCAAACAATGAAGAACTATCAATCAAAAAATTGACCATCTAATCAGATTCCCAGTTGATCATGAATCAAGCTTCATGTGAGTACATGGTAAAACATCCAAGAATGATCCAGTACCTCGACAAAGTCCAAGGACTTTCAAAAGAATTCCCCACTTTTACCATCCAACAAGTTCCCTAGGCAGAGAACACTCATGCGAATACATTGGCAAGCCTAGGATCAGCATTGGATACCCAGTTCAAACACTCCATCTCGACCAAGCATCGAAGAAGTAGAGCCAGTCGACACAATGCAGATTGATGAAGACCTCAGCTGGCAAGACCCCATCATCAACTACTTGGTGAATGAAAATTTGCCAACAGACAAGTTTAAAGCTAGGAAGGTCCCGTAGAAGGCCGCAAATACTACATGCAAGACAACAAGCTCCGGCCTTCATCTCCGACCTCATCTCACCTGCATAAAATACCCTCAAACAGTTGAGATCCTCTGCAAAATTCAAGATGGTGACCACTCTCCCAGAAGGCTCTACACATAGGTTATTTCTAGCCTACCATGTGCCACTACTCCACCGAATATATGAAAAGATGTGATCATTGCCAACAGTACAAACCAGTTCCTAACCTGTATGTCGAAGTCTACCATCCGCAGAATAGTCCACGGCCATTCATGCAATGGGCCATTGATCTATTGGGTCACCTACCACCAGTACCCTCCAAGAAGGACATGATGATCATCGCCACTAATTACTTTACTACATGGATTGAGGCCAAAGCTCTATCATCTACTAAAGAAGTTAATGTGGAACGATTTGTTTGGAGAAACATTATCTATTGGTTTGGCTGCCCTCAATCGCTGGTTACCAACAATGGCTCACAATTCATTGGCAAACAGATCACTGCCTTCTTTGCAAAATATAAGATCAAGCAACACATGTCCACCCTGAGGTATCTGCAAGGCAATGGCCAGGCTGAGGCATCCAACAAAATTATATTAGACTGCCTAAAGAAAAGATTAAAAGGCGCCGAATGAAAATGGATAGATGAGCTCCCTAGAGTACAATGGGCTTATTGACCCCCCATTTTCCCTCGCCTATGGGATAGAAGCAATCATTCCTCCTCACATCACTGTCCCTTCCATAAGCACTGAGTTTGGCAGTGTCGATCAAAACTCTGAACAAATGAAGCTAAACCTTGACCTACTCGAAGGATAACGCGAGAAAGCCACTGTCCAAGTCGCCTCCTACCAGCAGCAGTTGAAGTCTTACTACGACAAAAAGGCTAAGGTCAAACAATTTCAACTGGGCAACCTTGTCCTCAAAAATACTTTCATCATTGCACAAAGGCAAGGATCAAAAAAGATGAAACCCAATTGGGAAGGCCCTTATATGATCCGCCAGTCCTGCGGCAGAAGAAGCTATACACTTGACACCATAGAAGGGAAGGAGGTTCCATGACAATGGAATGCTTGCTACCTCCAAAGATATTATCCATGACACTTCCTCCTGCCTGCTTAGTTCCAAGCAAATGACTGAGACGTGCACATTTCTGAAGAAGAGAAGCAACTGCGGGAAATTTCAAGTTCTTTATTCAGTTATTTCCATTTCAAATAAAGCGATGTTATCTTATGAACATCAATGCAAGTTCAGTTTCTCATTCTAGAATGTGCCCAAAAAAAAAAAAGGGATAGTTGCCCATAAAGAGAGTCTTAAGGGAAACGCAAGGCAACAACCAAAAGTATCATTTAGCAGACGCAGTTAGCAAGAAGCGTCATTCAGGAGGCGTAGGATGCGCTAGGAATTTCCTAAGGGAGATCCAGGTTCCTATCCATTTCCCGAGGGAGGTAGGATGGTCACACAGCATCTTTCAGGGCTTGCAACCCACAAGAAGCATCCTTCGGGAGACGCAAGGCTCGTCTAGAATTTCGTAAGGGAGATTCAAGGAATTTTCTAAGGGAGATCCAGGTTCCTATATGTTTCCCAAGGGAGTCATGATAGTCATACAGTTGCCCATAAATAGCGTCCTTCGGGAGATGCAAGGCGACAATCAAAAGCATCATTTGGGAGACGCAAAACTCACCCAGAGTCCCTTAAGGGGGACCCAGGTTCCTGTCAGTTAGTATGACAGCCAAAGCATCCTGAAGAAAGAGCAAAAGAGCACCCTTCAAGCAAGCGGGGGGTAAACATTCAACATCCTAAAGGAGATGCACAACCAAGACACTAGCCGGTTTCTCAAGCAGTTCACAAGGGAAATTGAAGTTGAAAAAATAACTTAAATTTTCATAACAAAATGACCAACCGTCCAAGTTCAACAAAAAAAAAAAAAAGGTCAAACAAGACCAATTATTCTAAATAAGAAAGCAGACAAAAAAAGCTGAAAAGAAATAAATGAGTCTTTATTTACTTCGAGATGCGAGCAGGAGACCCTTGATCTACAGCCTCTTTGGCATCCACATGATCAGCCACACTTTTAGCAGCTCCACCTGTCTGCTCCGAGACATCTTCCACCATCTCATCAGCTGCGTCCTCCTCTGCTCCATCTTTTTCGACTATTGCCTCTTCGGCCGCCTGCTCTTAAGCTCCTTCCATGTTCGCAGTATTAACTTACTCACTTTGAACAGGGAGCAAGTAAGAGAAGAGCGGCTCGATAGAAGCAATCATTCCTCCTCACATCACTGTCCCTTCCATAAGCACTGAGTTTGGCAGTGTCGATCAAAACTCTGAACAAATGAAGCTAAACCTTGACCTACTCGAAGGATAACGCGAGAAAGCCACTGTCCAAGTCGCCTCCTACCAGCAGCAGTTGAAGTCTTACTACGACAAAAAGGCTAAGGTCAAACAATTTCAACTGGGCAACCTTGTCCTCAAAAATACTTTCATCATTGCACAAAGGCAA